TCGAATCGTGAGTTGAGTGAATCGTTACATCCCTAATAAAAACACATGAGCCAAATGAGCGGTTTGCCACAAGGAGGTGATGCTGTGAGTAGGTGTGGAACGGTTCGTGGAAAAAAATCGAAACGTACGGTTCTACACACACGGTTCGGAACGCGCTAGGCCCGCGGTTCAACTTAAATTTGACAACGCATCTGTAATATGGTTTGCTATAAATAACACGTAAAACAAACAGGGTTCGGCTAATATATGTTTCTGTTGATGGATGCGCATTCTGGCTTCCCAATACATTACAACAACTACATCGATGAAAAAAAAAAACCGTGGACAAACCCATTCACTCTTGTTCAATGCGAATGCCCTATGCTAGAATATGAGCATTTTTTATTCCGTCATCACCCAGGTGCTGATAGCGCGCGAGCACAGGTGAGACCTGAACAGCACACGTTGATATCTGTGTTTAAGCTAAACTCGTTTAAACTTTGCCGGTTTAAACATTTAAGAGCCAGAGGATGCGAGCTCGCGCGTGCAGCGAGAAGATTTGTGCGTGCGCTCATCCGAAGCGCGCAAACCCGCGCCTCAGAACGTGCGCAAATATTAAGCTCTCTCTGAAGTATTGTGTTTAAATGGACAAATTCACACAAAAATTATGTCAAAATGCCTGTCTTGGTTAGTATCCTAGCCGGCTGAACGGTCAGTATCAGTGCACTGTATCAGTGCATTCTCTTAAATTGACAGCACTTTCTTAATATTAATCAAACAGCAACAACAAAGAAATCACTCACTGCTCTTGATTGAATAGCTTTTGTAACTTTAATAAAGATTAATCTTTAATTTATACAATGAAATATGCAATGCTGTTTTACATTTCATTACTTTATTCAATTTCTGTACCTAAAAACTAATGTTAGACCTACCTAAAAAAAAAACTGAAAATCACTGTTTATTTTATTTGTATGTTTACTCTATTGTATTTATTTGTGCTGTTGCTTGTAGTTAGATAGATTATTCTGATTTTCTTATAAGAACCATACCGAAACCGTGACTCTAAAACCGTGATAAAAACCGAACCGTGAGTAAGTTGAACCGTTCCACCCCTAATAGTGTGTATATATATATATATATATATGTATTGTATTGTATTGTATTATTATTACTATCTGATTTTTTCTTTCCTTCTGTGGGCAAATGAGGTTTAAAGAACATACAGTAATAGCTATAATATAAACCATTTGCTATTTCTCAAGGAAATGCCTTGTCTGTGCAAATGTATCTTTTGTTCTTCTAATCTAAACAAATGTCTTTTGCCAACTATTGCACTGGAAGTGAACCAGAATATGAAGCAATTAAACACTTGCTCTTTTAGGTAGGGGCAGGGAGGGTTGTGCAGGCCTGTCTATAGTAACTTAAAATCGTAAATTCTCCTGTGGGGGCTGTTGGCAGCTACTTTGTTAAATGGGTGGTAACTTTATAGTGAAGTGTCTGAGTAGTTTAATGGATTTAATGGATTCTTAAAAATCATCCTTCACATCAACTCTTTTGACTTGCCTTTCTCTCAAACCTCATGCTGTTGTTTTCCTTATATGTATTTTCATATTTCTTACCCAGACAACATTGATGATGTTGAGAGGCAGTGGAAAGTGGAGTTCCATCGCTGGAGCTCCTACATGATGCACTGGAAGAGCCAGTTCGACCATTACAGCAAGCAGGAGCGATGCACAGATCTCTAGATAAATCTGACGTAAATGTAAGAAAGCGTAGAACAAAGAAAGAGAAAACTGATGACCATAACCCTTAATAGTCTCTTTTTCAGAACGGCAAAGTTTGCCAAAGCTTTTTCTTTGATTGCAGTCTCAGAGCAGGCATGAAAATTAATTTGTGAATGTTGCACTTTTGTTCCTTCCTGTGTCGGATATTATTCTTATCAACCAATTAATTATATTATGTGACAAAATATATAAGTGGTATCTTCCAATATATAAGTAGAGGAGGAGAATTCAAGCTGCTATTAGAGATTATCAAGTGCTACGGTCATCAAATGTATGTACCAGAAAAATGTTTTATAGTTATATTACCTCTAAACAGTGAGCGTGCATGTCTGTTCCACTGGAACCTAGAAACCCTCATTTACACTGGTCCTCAGGATCCCACTTTTTTATTATTTTTGTTTGTTTTGTTTTAATCCCGTTTTCTTATAGGCTTAAATTTGTAAAGGCTGCTTCACTGTACATTTATCTCCACTCTGTATCTACCGCATCTACTCAGTATTTCATGTGCTAGTTTATCCCAGTTATCGTGTGAACTTGTCTGCGGTCTCTGCTTTCTGACTGTGGTCCAACTCAATATACTAATCTTCATGCAGGAATCAGGAGCCATTTCATTTCATGTATGTTGTCTAACTGTTCTGAATTGTTTCTGTGTGAAAGTCTGTGTGTGTTAATGTACTAATATTTAAAACTATTTTTTATTTCGATTGCTACTTACATTGCATGCATTCTAGTGCCCAGAGCATGACTCTTCTTGTGTGTACGTATGAGAGAGAAAGTCTGTGTTTACCATATACCAACTACTTAGGTCAATATATGCATTTATATGTGGAATATCGCTAGTGAATTCACGTCTTCTTAGTTCAAATTTCATACGGGCATTGTATGTTTGAGTGTTTAATCTTAGACAGAGAAAGTGAGTTTGGTGAGTAAGACTAATGTTGTCTGTGTGCCAAAGGGTCAATATCATTTTTTTCCCTTGCTGTCTCGCTCTCTCGATGGGAAAGGCTTCTCATTACGATAATGGAGGGAGAGTAATTTACTTAGTGCTCATTTGAAATGACAGCCCGCTGTGTCAGCCATCTTAACTCCAGCCCTACCTTCACCCATTTGATGCAGTGGGAGGATGATAAAGGAAAACACAGGCAAGGGGAACCTGTGAGGACAAACAAGAATACAGGGTTATAAAAGCCACCTCCTATCATGTTCTATATTTATTGTAATATTTGGTGTATTTTTTTATTTAAGTAAATTATTTGCATGATTGCATCAAGTATCAAAAGAACTTATGTGGAGTGTTTTTAGTTAGCTTAAAAAAAGAGCAAATTTTTATTTTTGTGTATTTATTCATTACGAGTGTGGAATTGCATACATATATTTGCATTTTGCCTGTGAATCTGGATCAAACATTATTTTGTATTTTTCTGTTAATCATTCTTTCATATACACTGTCCCAGTGTGCATATTCATGTTTATTATGAACATGCTGAATTTGTGAATGCTAGTCTATGCCTGTCTCATTACCTTCCTGTCGGCCTGTTTTACTAAATCTAGTGTACTTGTCTAGAACCATTCATCTAGCGTTCTGTTAACACTGTGGAAGGGATCTGACTCAGTGCTGTTAAGACAGCAGGTCTTCCAGCACAAACCGATTGGTCGGCACTAAGCATTTATGACTGAATATGACTGGAATAATATAGATTAGCTTTAAACAATGCCATTTAAATGGAAATAATATATTGTACTAGCTAGACAAGTGTCACGTGGGAACGGTATGATTATGCGTGTTTGTTTATGAGTCTGAATGACAGCTGCTTTTCCTTCCACTCCATGAAATCCCCTTGTGCATGCCCTTAACACCCACTCCTCTGCATTATGTGCTTTAAAAACTGACTGTTATCCTCTCTGACAATATTAGTGCTGATGTCTGTTAATAATACACATTTATGGCTATAAAAACATTATAATAGCCCCAATATATATTTTAATGTTAGCAATAACAAAATACACTTAAAATTGAATATTTATTTGAATGCATTGATGCTCATGTAATGTCACACTGACTTGACTGATCAAAACTGTGGTCATGAATTGACAGCAATGATCATGGGTATTGTAACTGTCTGTAAATCAACTGTTTCTTCAAAGCAATATAGAGTGCCATATGCTATTTTATAGATTTTTTTTTTTTTTTTTTCACATTTGCATCAACTTTAGTATGGCTTTGTAGGTTTCCTAATTTTACACATTTAGGCAAGCAAATTAGTTGCCATTGAGGATACATGCCTCTTAAGTTTATGACAAAGATAAAATGTTATCTATAAATATTATATTGTAAATCCATATTATTCTACCCCAAATATATGTAGAACATTGCACATGGCTAAACAAGCATATTATGTTCTGCATTTGTTGCACTTTGACAACATATAATAATAGCAATCACGGTTATTGTTGTTCTTGTTGTTATTTTTTAAATTATTAATATTATTATTAATAATTTGGTCGATATTGCCCACTGTCAAATTAGTGCCAAACGTGTAAAGTGACAGCATCGTGCAAATCCTCCGCATGGTGTTATTTGTCATATCCGCCCTCTCTGGGCACCATGTCAGAAGCTTTCCAACGCAACCTCAATAAACAGTTATTGATTTAATTAAAGGAAAGCTGCTTGATTGTGTGGTTCTTCTCTCATTCAAAATACATCTGAACATTGATCCTAGTTGATGGTTTTGTGCACCAGAGGGCAGTATACGCACATTGTTGCAAATAATACATTGTACAATGCAAGCCGACGCTTTCTTTCAATATAGAAACATATTTTTTGCAATTGTTATATATTTGTTTAGTTATATATATATATATATATATATATATATATATATAATTGTATTTTTATAAAATATATAACGTATTTTTATTAAATTAACTACATACAAAATAATTGTTAAAAAAACAAGTCATTTGACCTTACATTTTATTTATTTTAAAACAGCGTTTTCCTCTCGGTGATCACAAAGACGAACAAGGTGGGTAAAACCAGCAAGTTTCTGAAACCGCAAACGTATCGCTTCAGACATCATACGTTGAACTTGTTTTTTGGGGGGGATATATCAATGAACACTGAGCAGAGCATATGAAGAGAAATAGTGAACCCATTGCGCAGTTTCAACGCAGCTTTGAATGTATTGAATACCTCTTTGGTGTTGACCAATAACGACAGACGGCTGTAATTTAGACCAATAAGTACAATTGAATCACTGCGTCATCTTTATGGCGCACTTATGCTACCCGTTTAGTTAAAAACGCTTTTATTATTATTTCATAATGTAAATAGTTGAAGAATAAGTATCGCGGATGTTTTAAGTCAATCATTGGTACCCAAGTCAGCTAGCGGTCTGCTAACATTTCTAAAGCGCAGCCTTTGTTACTCAGTTGTAAATCAAAACAATGACTTCAGCCTCTACCAAGGTAACTTAAATGTGTTGATAAATATGGTAACTTACCTAAAGCAAGATTAAATATTTACCTTGATGGTGTACTTCCATTTTTATTGCCTTCGTACTGGACATGTTTTTCATTTAGTTAATAAAGCTATTAGCTAGCATGCTAACGATCATCCTAATACCAGTGCAAAAAACAACACGTTTTCGGATACGCTCGTTGCTGTATTTATTTCTTGTTTTACTTATTTAGGTTGGTGAGATCTTTTCTGCAGCTGGAGCTGCATTCACAAAATTGGGAGAGCTGACCATGCAGCTGCATCCAGTGGCAGATATTAGTCCAGCAGGGTGAGACATTTACTGTCTATTTTCCGTTATGTCCTTTTATATACACACTGCATCAGGTTTTTGTATAATTACATTTTTACACTTACAAATCTAAAGTGCGTATATTACACACACATATACACTTTTCTAATTTTGTAAGGTATTTTGTCCAGCCCCCCTCTTTGTAATGCATATAGTCATTACACGGAAAATATTTACATTCATGATTTTAATTTTTTTTCTTTGCTTTTTCTCACCAGCTTTGTCTGCTTTATCTTATAATATAATAAATTGTTAAGTTCAGTGTTTTAGTAATACATTAGCAAATTATTGAGACATTTTTATGTAAACGTTTTAATATGATCCCACTTGGATTTGTACTTGAAATTTCTTCAGGATGTCATGGACAAGATAAAGTATTGTTTTCAATGATATTATGGGCCTTGTATCTTCCATTGCTGTTTACAGGCAGAGCTAGGTGGATACACACAGAGTTTGAGATTACTTGTATTGAACAAATGTAAGGAGTCTGTAAATTTCAATGGTGTCTTCCTCAAGTGCAGGTGAAATTTTAACTTTTTAATGCAGTTATAATACCTTAAATCTGGAAAGGAATGCTGGTTTCTTGATCACCATTCCTTGTGTAAATTCAGAAAAGCCCAAAAAAAAATTAAGATGTTTTAATATATTTAATATACTTTTGTATTTTTATGTCTGTTTGTAGGCCATAAAACATCATTATTCATTGTGTAGCTTGTCAGCATCTAATTAGACATTTCTCAAACATTAGGGCACAAATGAAAACAACAGTCAAGAGGAAGACTTATGAAGATGGTGGAGCTCCTTTATCCACTGATTCACCAAAGAAGAGTACCAAAAAGGTGCTGGTTTCTATGGCTCCCCCAGCCCCACCTAAAGTCATCGCTGTGCCAACGTCTCAGGTTGTGGTGACTGCGGGTTTACAGCGGCCAACCACAGGTCCATCTAGCATTAAGTCATCAAAGACGGCAGGTAAGCATTTCTTAATGCATTCATTTGTGTTGTTCATTTATTTTACTCTTTTAGAAACAACTTATTACTTTATCTCATTCAACCTCAACTATTTTCAGCATTTTGAATAGTACAATGTAACTACTGCATTCATATAATTTTTCCTCAGATGTCACTCTCAGTGCACTGAATGACTCTGATGCCAACAGCGATCTGGTAGATATTGAGGGCTTGGGTGATAGTTCCACATCTAAAAAGCTCAATTTTGATCAAGGTAAGAAACTTTTTTTTTTCTCTCAATTTTGAACAAATTTTTCTGTTTTTTTTCCCCCTTGTTCCCATTCCTTAAGGGGAAAACAATATCTGTATTTATTTTTTCCCAGCAGATAGTCTAAATCTCGACTCCAGTCTCATCATGAATTCCAGTGACTTGCCATTGTTATCCCGTTTTTTATGTCTGTTTGTAGGCCATAAAACATCATTATTCATTGTGTAGCTTGTCAGCATCTAATTAGACATTTCTCAAACATTAGGGCACAAATGAAAACAACAGTCAAGAGGAAGACTTATGAAGATGGTGGAGCTCCTTTATCCACTGATTCACCAAAGAAGAGTACCAAAAAGGTGCTGGTTTCTATGGCTCCCCCAGCCCCACCTAAAGTCATCGCTGTGCCAACGTCTCAGGTTGTGGTGACTGCGGGTTTACAGCGGCCAACCACAGGTCCATCTAGCATTAAGTCATCAAAGACGGCAGGTAAGCATTTCTTAATGCATTCATTTGTGTTGTTCATTTATTTTACTCTTTTAGAAACAACTTATTACTTTATCTCATTCAACCTCAACTATTTTCAGCATTTTGAATAGTACAATGTAACTACTGCATTCATATAATTTTTCCTCAGATGTCACTCTCAGTGCACTGAATGACTCTGATGCCAACAGCGATCTGGTAGATATTGAGGGCTTGGGTGATAGTTCTACATCTAAAAAGCTCAATTTTGATCAAGGTAAGAAACTTTTTTTTTCTCTAAATTTTGAACAAATTTTTCTGTTTTTTTTCCCCCTTGTTCCCATTCCTTAAGGGGAAAACAATATCTGTATTTATTTTTTCCCAGCAGATAGTCTAAATCTCGACTCCAGTCTCATCATGAATTCCAGTGACTTGCCATTGTTATCCCGTTGAAATCTTCTGCAACATACAATCAGGAAAAGGAACTAATCATGTCACTTCAGTGCGGGGTTCAGGAAACTTGCGTTTTTTAATCTGGAGACAGTTCTCTTTTTTACAGGAAAAGACTCATTTCTACGTTAATAGTGAAGCTAGGCATATTTTACCAATGAAGGACACAGTTTTAAGAGGCTGGCAAATTTTGCTTAATACATTTTTCTGTTCTGGGTCCAAAATTCATCATTTTAAAATAAGTTATTGTAAAGGCATTGTGTAAAAAAAAATTCAACCATTATCAATAAAGTATTATGACCATTACTTTGTTTTTGGGGGAAAGTTGTACAAAAACCTTGAAATGCTGTTGTTGAGTGTCAATGCTTTGCTTGGTACATTGTTTAAAAAAAGGGGAGGGGGAGGGGTTTGTTTTTTTCCTTAGACATTTTGTAATATCTTTGGTCTATTTACCTCATAATATACTTTTATTTTATTTTTTACATAAAACAAAAAATACTTCTTTTAGACTGGGGTTTAACTCAAGATGATCTTCATCCAGGCTTTTCTGGAAACCTCTTAGAGCAATGTGGTAGTGGCATCTTCCACTACATAAATGCAGCTTATGTCTTACATTTACTTAGGTTTTTTTTATCTGTTTTATTGATCTGATCTGAAACGGTCTGTGGGCATAGTCTAATAACTTTTGCATAATTGGGCTGTTAACAAATTGGTCATATAGTCTTAGCCCTACCAATGTTGTAGCATTAAGAACAGCTAAATCAGCATTAAATCACAGATTTTGTGTTTGAAAAGAGTAAAATACAGTCCATCTGATCTCCTCATAAACAATCCCACAGCACAATGACACTTTCTGCCTATATCTCTGTTCTTCCTCATTGGTTATAATAACCTCACTAAGTGACTGATAATCTCATGAAATCAACCAGCCATGGTGTAAAATCAGATCTGTATCTGAATGGCATTTCTAAAAGCAGAACAGTGAAGATGGCACAGTTTGGTTTTCACCAGTCTATCGGAGACAGACTAAAACCACAATTTCCTGGCATTTTTTTTGTACTGTAAATAAAATAATTTCACTCAAATAAGGTTTTGTTATTTTTAATGTGAAGTTTTTCGCTTAGACATTTTCAGGCAAAACAACAAGAAGGGCTTTCGTTTTAATTTTGACATTGTCGAGGTAAAATACATATAACATTTAATTTCTGGACAGGTGCTTTCCATACTGCTCGCTGAGTGTGTCTGTCTGACGGAAGCAGCACAAACCATACTGGCAACCCAGGGAGAGGGCAGCTGCCAATATTGATGTGCTGCTACTGTCAGGCACACCGAGACATCAAGTGGTCCAAGGGAGGAAAGAGGACGAAAGGAACATACAAAATATATGCAGATTAATTCAACAGCTTGAATGGTTACACTATCACAGTAAAAAGCAATGCTGATCTCCTAAAATATAGACTAACAAATACAGGATGTGAATTCCCAGCTGCCTGGGAATAACTCGCTGAAGAGGCCACCTAAGCCACACCTGGTGATTCAGTCATGAATCATTTATTGTGTGTCTGGTGGTCATTTGTAAAAATGTCATTTGAGTTGGAAAAAAACCCTCTGCTTTGTCACATTTTTATTCACAAGTCTGAAAGACAGTTTTAACCCAATTCTAAATACATTTTCAAACAATTCAGACTGCATCTCACTCCACTTGTTACTGTATTTAAAAAAAGAGGCTTACCTCTGATGCATTTATTACACTGTGATTTATGATACAAGCAGAACATTAGGTGTTTAATGCTGCCATGTTAATGGAGAAACTCCCAGGCTCCCAGTGACAGCACATCATAATTTGGAATTTGCCATTAGAACTTACAAACCATGATGTGCTGCTACAGGGCACTCTGGGCTAAATAAAAAGATGACGACAGACTCCACTGGTCCTCACTAGGATAAGAAAGTAACTTGCATTACTTATTTGAAAAAGTAACTCAGATATTCTCTTGTAAATTAAAAAGTAATGCGTTACTTTACTAGTTACTTGAAAAAAGTAATCTGATTACGTAACTCGCGTTACTTGTAATGCGTTACCCCCAACACTGAAGATTAGGGACAAAATTAATTACGTGTAATATAGAAATGGATATTTAGTGGCAAGTTATCAAAAAATAAAATAATGACAGATGAAAATTTTATGAGAATGCAATGTGAACAGATTGTAATAAAATGTAATAAAAGTTGTTTGACAGCATTACTGCTATTTCTTTAGCACAGACAATTATGAGGAAGCTCGTGGTCACCCACATCTTTTCATGCCATTCTAATAATGCCCTGTGAGACTTAATAAGTGAGTTATTGTGCACACACTGTCCTAAAATGGATGTTGAGGATGAAGACAAAATGGAGGATAATAACAAAGGGGGGAGATGAGGAGAAAAAACTAGCGCCTGTCAAAATGGCTTTATTACCATTGGAATAATTTACTGAGTGAAAAGAAAAAAAAAACATCTAAAAATTATTTATTTTTATCTCCCTCCCCCCACCACCAAAAAAAGCACTACATCTCTAATTTTTAAACTTCTCAGGCTTAATATTGTGAAACAGGATTAAGTATCACTATGATAAAAGTTAAAGTATCTATTAGTATTACACATACAGTATTATAAAACTGCATATTTTAATTATCCAATAAAATAATTTTGGCCAAGAAAAGTGTTGCATCAAATTAAAGGATTCCTGGGATTAGGAGTCAAATTTGTCCAAATGTAAAAACAAATAAGAGGACAGAAAGAAAAGAATGCTTGTACAATTCATAAAGAATAATTTTCACAACCTCTATAAAAGACAATTCGTTAGCAAAAGTGGCAAGTATACATTAACAAAAAATAAGAAGTTACAAAACTACTAACTTTAAAGTCTGCACTCCGCAGTATATTCCAGAACATAGTATAGGTTTTAATTTTGGAGCGATAAGAGGATGATAATAGGGGGAGGTATTTAATAAAAATGAGAGGAACATCTGATTTTAAAAAGTGTGACTACCAGATCAAGATTATTGTATTATTCATCTGTGAAAAGCCAGTGGTGTTTGAAAGATGAGGGCATATGGCAGATCAATTGTTGTAGTGTGTAAAAGGTAAATGGCAGAAAGATCTTGGCCCATCTCTACATTTCACTGTTTTTCCCTTAATTTTTTTGTTATTTTGCTTGTAAAATTTTCTCTGGTTTTTGTTTTTTGAAAAAAGAAGCTTACACCAACAACACTAGACCAACATAAATGTGGCATCAATTAAGTAGGAAAACCACAATAATGATTGTTTTAGTGAAAAACAAATTACATTTTTAATTTGCTCAAAACTAACAACTGACAAAAGTTGAAAGGACTAAAAAAGTATTTGATATTTATAATATCAACTTTTGTGGTGGAGAAAAAGAAACACCAAGTATTTTTGAAGGACTTGACATTTTTCTTTTAAGTACACCACACCCTATGTTGTGTGATGAAGTTCTAATGTCAGCAGAAAATCAAGATTTTATTGCAAAATAATTCATTCTGACTGTTGTAACACACCAAAACACAATCTTTAATTTCTGCTTAAAGATATTTAAGCCTTTATTATGAAGCTGAAGTTCACAGTAAAAAAAGAGGAAGTTTATCAGAAGCAAAATGCAGGCTAAGCTGTGACTAAAATTGTGCTACACAAAAACCCAACGTTTTTTCCAAAACGTATGATAGTGAATATTTTACATTTAATGCTTTTAGTTCTAATCAACCCTGACAAACACACTTCCATCTCATAAAGGGCAGCCTATTTAAGGTCTGAGTCAAATGATCACGTCAGCACAGTTGCAGAAGGCATTTGCTTCTGTCTACTTCTGCCCGTCGTTCATCGAGAGAGGGAGAGAAAGGGGGGGTGGGGGGTGTTAGCAAAAGAGAGGGAGAGAGAGAAAATGAGAAAAGGATAGACAGCAAATGGGTGGGAGAGGGAGACCTAAAAGAGAAGCTCACACACTTACATAGACACATACACACCCTGGCCTAACTTTGCTCACCCATTCAAACCAGAGGCCGTTTTGGTTAAGCTTTGAAACGGACACAGGAAAGATTTCACTTACCCTCGATCCCCGTTCTCCAGCATGTTAGGCAACAGGGGAGAGGAAAAGGTGCCTGGTATTCCCAAAGTAACCCGCCGGCCTCCCCTCTTCCAGTGTAGTCTGTCTCCTGCACCTGGGTAGGGAAAAAAAATTAGTAATTCCCCAACTTAATTCAATGAAGTTGTTTTTGTATTTAAAAAAGCCAAGCAAAGTACTTGAAAAAGACTTTTTCATTCTTTCAGAAAACTCGATTAAAGTCACAAAGTAGTTCGCCCACCTCAAATATTTTAATTCTTCGCAAATCTACAGCTAGATCTACACCTAAAACAGTTTGGCTGCTTTCAAAAAAAATTGTAGAAACAGAATTAAAAAGGAAAACAAACCCACACATGCACTTATCAATGGGAATCCCAAGTCTTAATTTCAGGTCAAAAATACACCCATTCGTCTGAGCTTGGGGCTCCCATTCCAGATTGGGGGGTGGGGTTCCAAGAGTCAAATAAGTGCCTAAACCTTTTGTCCACCAGCACCTATTTTCAGCCCTTAAACCCCTTTCTCTCCCTATTCACCTTCAGACCAGCAGTCCAGTGCAGTGTGCAGCCTCTGCTTAGCTGTAGCTAGTGAGGCTGCCTGAGGAACTTGGTAGGCATAAAAAGCAGGGGTTGTAGCCTTTTTCCCGGGGCATCAGTTTCTACAATTAAAATTAACATTTTCGGGGGACAGGAAAAATCCCCCAAAAAATCAGGGCATCGCCCTGGGGTCCCCTTAGAAGAGTGTGAAGTTTGAGGACCACCGGCACTACCGTTTCGGAGGAAAAAATTAATTTCTAGGGCTTAGTGTCTGGGGCGCGTCAGTGCTAGCAGCTCTCGCTTGCTTGATTTCTTGTAGCCTTGCCAAAGCATTCACACAGCCAACGGAGAGAAAGGGAGGGAGGGGGGAACAAAAGAGGGAGAAGGCTCGGCTGCAAAGACACACAGAAAGGGGGATATGAAACTAGGAAAAGTGTTATGCGTTCGTGGTGTATTTTTGCAATAAACTCGCGGGCAAGCGTTCACCACAAACTCCAAACTCGAGCGACCACACGGGGTGTTTCAAGTCCAAACGCATTGTCCAAAATTAAAGAAAAAACTTGACTTTATATTCTCGCCATTAGTTCATTATCCATTGAAAGAGAAAAACAAAGGAGGAACAGCAAAAACAGATGTCAACAGTTTGGAGTG